TCCCCTTCCTAGAGACATGGACCACAGCGTCAGTCCCCCCGTCCAGCGCTGCAGTCCAGCCCCGGCTGTGGAGCCGGGCATTCTTACAGACAAATGGCACTATCGAGGCAGATGGCAGCTTGGTGCCACCTGAGGGCTGACAGGTAAGAAGCTGTCGGTACTCACTCTGTCCCTGGCATTGAGATCCGCTTCACAGGCGATGAGGTGCTCCCCGCAGTCGTACTGACCCGTCCTCACAGCCACGTGCAAAGGGGTGCTGAGCAGCTGAGAGTGGGGAGGAGGATGCAGTCAGTGGTACAGAACAGGTCAAGGCCACTTCAAGAACGGCCACCAAAAATTATCTACTTGGAGAAAGGCTCGGCTTGTCCTCTCCAACTTAAAAAAACCCTGCTGCTTCCCAGAAGCACATACCTTGTCTCTTGCGTTTCTGTTTATCCCTTTGTCCAGTAAGAATTTCAGAACGTCCAGATTCCCTCCCCGGCATGCCCAGTGCAGGGCGGTAGATTCGAGCTGCAGCAGGAAAAACAAATGGAGAGTAATTTAGTTCATCATATTAAAAAAAAACAAATATCAAATTTCTAAATTAATCCAAAATATTTTTCATGCAATTTAACCTAAAGCACTTCGCTGTGATCGTGACCATGAGTTGTTTCTAGTAACAGCTTTTCTTATTTTGCCCTAATTTCTTCAGTGCTGTGAGTGTCTCACTCTTCACACTCACTGCACATTGCTCTTAAAGTCGGAGATCTTGGCTGCGCTGCTGTGAGAGAGGATGTGGTTTGTCTATTCTGTGAACTTAGAAGTTATCTTTAGCCAGGTATGTTGTGGGGTTCTTTTTCTGGCTGGTATGTGCTAGTTGATACTTCTTTTATTTTATGCCTTTTGGGTTATAAATTGCATATAAAATGCAGCTCAAGGGAAAGAATAGTTCTCTTTAAAACAAAACAAACCCCGAACCCAAAAAACACCAACTTAGTAGCTCCACAAAGTGAACTGGAACCTTTCTCCCCCTACAATGTTCAACTTCTCTGCCCTCAGCTCTGCTGGGAGGGGTGAAGGTCTCGCTCTACCTGTTGTTCCTCCTGGTTCTTATGCTCTCCACAAGCACTGCTGGGTTAGGCAAGGGGGGAGCAAGGATGGCTGGTTCCAGCTGTTAAAGGGATAAGAGCTGGGAGCAGAGAAGGAGAAAACCAGCAGCAGCAGATGCTGATGCTCAGTGACCCTCATGGCTGGCATTCCAGAGGAGCAGGGGGATGTTATTTCAAGGATAGTCTTAGAAGAGGCTGCAAGGTCTTTTAATGGTCTGGTTCTGTAAGAAGTGGTTCTATAAGTGCTTCTCTTGGCACTTAAAATACAATGAACCATTTTCTGAAAGAAGTGTGAGTTGATGTGCATACCATGTCTTTCTGTTCGAGCCGGGCTCCAGCATCCACCAACTTTTTCACCACCTCTAGATGTCCTTCAGAGCATGCCCTGTGCAGCGCAGTACGTTTGTACTGGCAGTTAAAACAGTGCAAAGTCAGATATTGCATGTGGCACAAACCGCTATCTTTTAATCTTTTCTCCCCTCCTGCCTATGATGATGGCAAATACATACTGATTAATTTTCAAGAACTAATGCTTTTGAGATCTGAAATCTGCTAAATTTTAATAGCGTCCTGATAACTGAGAGCTGCCTGCCCAGCATTTTAAGGGGCATAAGACATTTCAGCAGGGTGGCATTCAAATTTAAAACGATGCCTGTTGAGTTCCCTCATCTAACATGCTACCCTGCCTTTTGCCAATGCAGCTTATACGGCATGAAGCAGGAGGGCAGGCAGCATCACTTTCTTCTTTGTTCTGCAGACAGATTTCTTGTCTGTTCATCTGCAGCATTGGAAGACCACCTGCTACAGAAAATCGGGGTCTCCTGATCACCAACAGCCTTCTTTTAAATATAAAGATTTTTTTGACGTAATGTTACTTTGAAGGGTCCCAATGGACCCATTATCACTAGAAAACTTGATATACAAAACTTCCAGCATTTCCTTACTTCCTCCCACCCTTTTTTGTCCTCAGGAGCTACATAACCTAGTGATAAAAGTTATTTTTGCCCTGTAATAACCTCTCTTCTGTAGCAGGCTTTGCAGTAAGAAGGAAGATTGTACCTCATCACAGACATTTGGATCTCCTTTGTCTGACAGGTATTTTTCAATTACTGGCAACTTATTCTCCAGTGCGGCTCTAAAGAATGTGGGTATATCCACTGGTCCTGTCTGATGGAAAGAAATACACAGGGCATAAATGCACGTGACACAAAACCCCATCAATGGTTTCCTAAAGGAAGGTACTTTGAAATAACTTACAATAACTTCTGGTTCAGACTCCTTTACAACGGGTGCTTTCACTTTCCTGCATTTCTTCTTCTTCTTCAGCTGAATAATTTTTTCAAGGTCCTCCAAGTTTTCAAGTTTTGACCTTTCCTCTAATTTCTTCTTCTTCAGCTGAAAGAAATCAGGGAAGCCAGCGAGTTGAGCTGAGTGCGACCGCTTTCAGAGTGGCAGGACGTGTGCCGCTGAATTCGGCTGAACTCAGTTAAGACTGGATGAGCTTCGGAATGAGCTGTCTTTTTTTATATAACTAGGGCTAATTGACCATTAGAATTTGTTACTGAGTGTGTGAGAAATTCTATATCATCTGCAGCTTTTCATGCACCATTGGACAACTTCCTAGATGCTGCTTCAGCCATATGCTGTGGGATACATGGCATGAATTTTTCATCTGTGTTAGGCCAGGAGCCAGAGCAGCACTGCAGTCCCTTCTGGCCCAACAATTTAAGAAATCTCATGTGCAGCTTATGAAGGCTGGGAAGCCCCTGCAGTTTTAGCTGACTTCCACCAGGCATTTTTTCTTCAACCGTTTTTGTGATGCAGCCCTGATTTACTGTAACTTAATCCTCTTCAATGAAAAATATACCTTTAAGTGAAGGTTTATACCAATCTTAGATTTTCAGCCAACAAGCGTTACATTTTGGGAAGCCACAAAGAATGTCCCCAGTATCCTTGGAGGAGCAGCTCCATAAATGTTTAAGACTTCTCCAGCCTGCTTGTGAAAAAACATCCCTGCATGAAGGCAGTGTGGGGCACTGCTAACATCAAGGGCAAACGTGTTGCCTGAACTGAGATCTGAGGTACCATGAGGTGTCCTTGACCTCAGAAGGGGGATTCACAAACAAGAGGTATCACAGCTAACAGATGTGTGAGTGAACACACATGACAGATTCTGCCCCGCAGTACCATGAAGGGTAAATACATTGGTAAATGCCTGTCATAATGGTACACTTTTTTTTTCCTAACTGAATTCTTATTCAAGTTACTTCTACCTTTTCTTTTTATTGTTCTCTGCATTTAGGGTTTGATCTGTAGATCATTTACTTAATGGAAAATAATTATGTTGGCTGAGTAGACTGTGGATCAACTGAAAACCCCAAAATTTCTTTAGGACCCTGTTTTGGAAGAACTCAGAAAAACTTAGTAGCAAGAAGTTATCTTTATGTTGAAGGTGAAGGTCAATAGTGTTTATTTCAGTATTTCTGAGGCTCATTTTCTCACCCTGCTTTTTTAAGAACAGCTTTATGCCCTCTGCTAGTTAAACATTTTCATTCCCAAATCACTTTAAGTTTTTAGGCCAGTTGGTTGCTTATTCACGAAAGAATTTAAGACATTACAGCTACTGTATTTTGGGGGAAAATAACATCAGTTCTTAGGGATATAGGGAGAATTGTCATGCTCCAGGAATACAAAACGTTACTTTTCAGCATCACTTTCATTTGCAATTGTTTTTCCCAAACGTGCTAGTAAGCATAAGGCAGTGTGTTCATAAAAAGAACGTTTTCATGGTAGGTAGCCAGACTTCTGGCTTCAGAAATGCACTCTTTTTTTGGGTTAGGCATTTTTGGTGGCAGTCATTAGGTGTGCAAGCTAAAGGTGTCTTACTGGCTGTGATTGCTCCCTTCCTTACTGCCAGCCGGCAGCAGGGCGAAGGAGGCAGGAGGGAACCCCCAGGGTTTCAGTCAGATGTTACAGGGGGAGCTTTGGGTTCTGTTTCACGGCATTACTGCCTGCGTCCATAGACTACAGGAGTCAGCAGATCTCTGTGGCTTTCAATGGACTTTAAACCAACATCCTTTGCTGGTGATCTCCCGAGGGTTTATCTAGCTCACCGTGCATGTATTTCTAACTTAGAAAGAGGCAAAACTTCAAGGGCTGCAGCAGAAAGTGCACAAAGGATGATTTAAAAAAACCCAAACACAAAACCCAAGAGCCTACCTCTGCTTCTCGCTTTTTCTCCTTCTCATAAGTCAGGTCATCTCGGGAAAGTGAATGTTCAGAGATTGTCTTCAGGTCCTCCTGCTTCTCTAATCTAACAGCAGCTTCATACTCTCCATTTTTGAAGTCCTCAGGGAGGAAGCTGCCAGTCTCTTTATCATCCGCTTTCTTCCCAGTCACCTGTAAAAGCAAAAGTGATGTGATATAATATAAGCAGCAGTTTCATGACTGCAGTAGCCAGCCCCTGGAAACATGGCTTTCCTCGAGGCTAATTGCATGTCATTCGTGTCCTGCTGCAGGACTGCGTGACAGACAGAGTGCAGACCTCCCTCAGCCTGTGCCTGGGTTAACTGTGTGCGTGAATGGCGAGAGCAATCTCGCTTGCGGGCAGATTTCCCACATCCACGCAGCAACCCCCCCTTGGCATCTTCAGGGCTTGGGTGAAGATCCGTGAGGCCAACTCACAGTCTAACTCCCTGCTTGACTGGGGACGAGGTGCTGCTGAACTGCCAACAGCCAGCGAATTGGGGAAATAATCTTTTTGGTTTGTCATTCTCCTGTTTGCATGTCACCAGCCACCAGCACCTTGCGAGTGCTGAGCAAGGGAACTGAGCAGGTAGAGTGGGAGGAGAAGCTCTCTCCCTTGGGACCTTACAGTTTTATTGAAACACATCCAATGTAGTTAAATCAGGTTGCTGAGTAATTTCAAGGCTGGTTTTACCCATCACTGTCAGTACCAAAGTCCCCATTTATAGCACTCGGCAAAATAGCAGACGGTAGTTTCTGCGCAGAAGCTACGTGATGCTGTGCAGCAGCACAGCTTTCGATAGCTTTTGGAAATATCTCTGCTGCTCAATTAAGTATGTACAAAGAGATAACTTGTTGAACTTAGTGGAGGTTGTTGTGTATTTTGAGAGTGGTTCAGTAAATTCGTGTGGCCTAGACTGCTTTTCCATTCAATCACCTTATAAAATCGTGTTTCTTATAGAGTTTAACACTAGAGAAACTGTCAGGGTCTTGCTGAAGACTTTAAGACAACATTAACTAGTTAGGCATTATGGCAGTTCCGTCTTAACATAGCCATCTGGGGAAAAACCCAACAGTTTCTGCATCATGTTCCAGTGTTTTATGGGACCGTTCCTGTTTTCCCAGTTTACTGATCACATCAGACATTCTTAGTCTGAGCCCTGCAGTGGAATGTCCCATTACTTGTGGGCCGGTTTAGACATTATCTTTCATAGGCTTGTTACACCATCAGCAGCAGTGGGTGTAGGAACTGTTAGTTTATTATTAGAAGATAATGCTCTTACTAAACTGTCAGTTTAGTATTACAAAATACTTTGGTTTCCCTGCATTGATACCCCCTCCCAGTCCCTTACTGGCTTGGAATTACTCAGTATGGTGATAAATGTAATAGCTTCTTAAAAAATGAAAATTAAAATCAGGATCAAAGGAAGATACACAGCTAAATTTTGTTCAGTCTGTTCTTCCTGGTGAACTGTGTTCTGATGCAAAATCCAAACAGCTATGTAGTTATATCAGTGGTGAACCCCTTTCCCAAGGAAAACTTAAAGTGAGAATATAATAGGATAAACTATAATATATACAGGTTTTGCACCTAGAGCACAGCAGTGCTGGTAACCTGCTAAATCACCTCTATGATCCACCAGGGTTGTCTCTCTCTGACTGGTATAATGACAATCTAGAAAGAAAAGTATTTATGAATAAATGAAAGGAAATGGTACCTACCAGCTCTTCTACCTTCATCATCATCATATTCGCTGGTGTTTGAAGGTTGTACTCCTGTACGGCTGAAACTCCCAAGTGCTCAGCCCAGCTCTGCAGGGACCACCACGCTAGCTTTGCTTATATATCTTTGGGAGAACGGTGCTTGAATGAGATAATCTTCCAACCTGGGAATCCAAGTACACCCCTTGGGCTTGCCAGCTGAGAGAGAGGTAGGCTCGTGTGCTCATTCCAGACATGTTAACGAGCCAGATCTGGTGTCGAGGCAGGGAAGGGGGCGTCAGTTGGGCGAGGGAGGGTGAGCCTCTCAGTCTAACCACACCAGAATGTGCAGCGGAATGGAATGTGAGCTCATCATCCTCTGGCGATGACTGCACGGCTCAGCAATGCGAGTCATCCCGTGTTCCCAGTGCCCACTAGGACAGCTGTCTGTTTGTATAGCATTATAACTCCATCTCTCCATCTTCTTTTTAGTTTTTCTTTTGAACTGACATTCAGATGACTGTAAAACACTGGAGAGGGTAAGGGGGTTATGAACAATACTTGTAGCAATACCTTACTGATAAATGGATTATGACCCATTCGGTCTCAGAAAGCAATTATTTTCATTGCTATTTATTCTTGAATGATAAACAGTTTTAGGGGAAAGGATTTTTCTCATCATGATGGCAGTCTTCTATATTTGTTGGAAGGAATTCTTTGAAGGGATCACTATACCAGAATGATGTCTCTGGTGCTAAAAGGGCCTATGACATGATAACTTACAATCAGTGTAAGATCTCAAAACAGCAGGCTTTGCATTTTTCTGGGACTTCGTCAGTGATCATAAGTAGAATAGTAAATTATGTCCTATTATGCAAAAAAAAAAAAAGTAAAGCCGTTTTCTCAGGCAATGTTTTCCTTTTGGTTATGAGAGAATACAGGCACAGAAGTGACCTGTTCCTTTTTGGAGATAAGATAGGATACAGACAAATATATGCAGATGATGTGTGTGTCTTGGGGAAAAGGAGGTAGTGAGTCCTTTGGAAAAGCTTTTCCTGTGCCGTGAATCAGAGGATCCTGGAAGCAGGTGAATGCGCATCAGCAGAAGGCAGTTTTATAAAAGGAAGATACACTGATCTTTGCATTTAAAGAGCATGGATACAGGCCAAGAAAAATCAGTTCTGTCATTCTGTGATGCTTCTTGTTCCTGCCTGGCTGTAGGCATCCAGGTCACCTGAAATGAACACAACTGCTCAGGTGCTTCAAGTACGACATGTACAAGTGCTTCACCAAAGCAAGACCTAACTATCTTGAGTGTTTATATCATTAGCATCATTAGCATGCTGCGTTCCTGGCACTGACCTTTCAAGGTGTCTCTCCTCTGAACTATATCCCAGTAATCTGAGTACATCCAAACTTGTCTTCTAGTGTCCATCATACCTATGCCCTCCCGTTCCCTGAAATGAAGCTGGACATCAGGTGGTTCCTTTACTGCTCAGAATATAGATGACATTAGAGAATGAGCCCCAGAACTAAAATAGAGTATGTGGCAGCAAGAGAACCTTTCAGAACATTTTTTTTCCAAACCTAAGTACAGCCAGGCTATCACTCCCCCAGAGTGGTATGTCCTGAATCACACTGCCATGCTTTTCTTCACAGCAGCTTTGTGCTCCTGCTGTATGTCTCTATGGTAAGCAGCAGCATGGTTTGGTATTTTTCCTGTTTACAAATGTGCTGCAGCAGCTTGTCTTGGTCTGTTTTGTTCTGTGACACTTGTTTGAGAGGTTGTCTTGAAATCCACAGCCCTAACAGGACAGCTGCAAAGACCACGTCTGGTTTAGTGGGGACAGATCACAGTGAGGATTTGATGTGGGAAGAGAAATGTAGGGGTTTGCTTTAAGAACAAAAACTGTTTAAGAAGCTGTAAACTACCTCCAACCCCATTGTGTCTGTAGCTTATTTTGCCCTTTATTTGCTTTCTTTTTTTTTTAAACTGTCTGAAATAGAAAACTGACTCAGCAAAACCTAAACGGGAAGGTTTAAGTGGTTAGATCTTCCTCTGAGAATGGCACATGAATCCAGAGCTAGAGTAGCTTTACAGTAAACCTCAGTGCTCTGAGGAGAAACACCAACACACTTCACACATCGTGAGTGCCACCAAAAAAACCCCAGCTGACTTAGGGATAATTCAGTAATTATCTTGGAAGCATTCCATCCCCGAGGACTCAGAGAATAATAAAGAATAGAAAAGAATCTTCCTTGATTAGCCTGAGTTTCTATGTGAAAAGGGTGGCATACAGAAACCCACTTTAACCAAAGACTGGAGTTTAAATTAACCTAATGGTAAATGCTTTTTAAGCTAAATGTCATGTAAACCAAAGTAACCTTACTGAAATAGTAGAAATGCACTGATTCATATCAGCTAAGACTCTCAGCCGGATGCTTATTGCTCTTGCTTAATATTGGAGGGGGAAGTAGTATAATGAGCTTGCAACCTTGTGCAGGACCGTAACCACTTAATCACTTTGCAACAAGTGATTTCTCGTTATGGTGGTAATAGTACATGGGCAGAAGGTGATGTGTAACAGGAATTTGAAGAACTCCTGCCACTCTGCTGAAGGATAAGGGCAGAGCAATGATCTGCAAGGTGTGAGGCAATTGGATATCGTCACCAGAAAACTCACAGAGAAAAACCAAAAAAGGGCGGTAGGTTCAGCATGACAGAGAGAAAACTATCTGGGACAGCCTGTTTCCTGCTACCAAAAGGTAAGTTCTCTGCATAGTGTAAAGAATTTCTGTAATTAGTTTTTAAAGGGGTTAATGGTAGAGTGAAAGCATCATGTGTGATACAGATGATATTGCCGCCTCCTGTCAAGTGTATTACCATCATGTTTTCAATGCCGTCACTGCTGTACTCAGCTGTCTTACATTTTCCAACGCTCTGCCCTTGGCTCTGTCCTTGCTTCTGAAGATGCTGATCTTTGGAGTGCCATTGTGCCTGGCTGTCTCTGACCATCTCCTGCTGCTCAATAACTAGAGGTATGAAAAAGTCAGTTACTGAGGAGTGGTTATGCACCTAAGAGGGTATTAATCCAGCAAACTATGTTCCGCATGTGTGCAGCCAAGGATAAATTCATACCCAAGAAACACATAAGAACCAGTAACCCATAGCTTATTCCTCCTGGGTTGATGATCTGTTGGTGTGTAATGGCTTGCTGATTTCTCAGTATGTGTGAGCATCCAGCATGTCTTACATACAACCACACACACCAGAGCAGTAAATAACAGTACATTGCAAGAACTGTATCTGTTTCCACTTCTTTTTTAGCTGTTTGTTTTCCGTAAAAGGCAGGAAACACTTATATTAGTCTAACATACACTCTTACAGTAGTCTAACATACACTCTTACAGTAGTCTAACATACACTCTTACAGTAGTCTAACATACACTCTTTGATATTTATTGTCAAAAAGCAGTTTGGGTATGAGTTAACTGTAATATGCAAATGATACCACTCGTGCTCTGATTTTTTGAACATCATGATACATATGTCTGTCTGCTTTTTATAAAGTGGTCAGGGAACTGCTGAATCATCAACTTGGAGACCACTTATTGACATATATTTTTTGGTATAAACTGCTAAAAAGAAACACATTGTCCCCTTAGGGGAACAAAAAACCCCACAAAACTATTTCACCTCGGAATATAAAGTTAGTTTTAAATACGAAATTAGAATATGACAAATTATTAAATTTAGGATGACGCTATAATTCCATTTCTTCAGATGAGTTGCTATCAGAGAAGTCATAGTCTGGAAGGTTGCTGGTCTGACCAGCACAGTGTCACAACCGAAACCAGTAATGAGTAAATAGCTGCATCACTTACTGTAGGGCTTAGAAAAACCTCCTCCTCAAATAACAGCAGCGCTGGGGATTTCACATAATAGAAAAAAATCTACTGTGATTTCTGTGTAAAAACAAGGGATTTGAATTTATCTGAGGCCTTGAGCTTTGTCATGATGGCCTTTGTTTGACACATGAATCCAGTTAATTCACCTTAATGAGTCTCGGTTAACAAGAAGGTGCAGGAAAACACACCAGAAGTGGTGTTATGTGTGGTCAGGGGTTCATCTGCTGGCTACTTGGCCTTCCTTGTCTGCAGTACTGGTCAGAGTCTCACTGGTCCAGCACGCCTGTGCTGATGCTCTGTTCACGTAACCTCTGAGTACATTCCTGTGTGGTCAAGGAAGTACAATATTCCCTCAGCTGCTGCAAAAGTGCTTTTCTGTATCAATGTGTTGCCGAAAAGGTTTCTGCCATTCATAAATACTCCAGAACAACTCTAAATCAGGCAGGAAAGAAAAAGTGCCAGAAGTAGAGAACTGCAGAAGAAGTTGTTATCCTTACAGTGGGAGCATGCCTGCAAACCCCAGCCACTTAAGTAATGATCCAACAATGACCAACTGCTCTGCAGTAAAGCACAGCCAGTGCTTTCGACTGGCAGCAAGGGAGAATTCACCTTCACTCCAGAGAGGCTGTGACATTTTTAAACTTTATTTTTACTTTTAACTTCACAATGTCTAACTTAAAGCCTCCCATTACTGAATCTTGCTGTACCTTTACCTGAAAGCTCCTAGGAACCACCTCTCATCCCAGTAATGTAATGCCTTTTTGCTGTGTAAATGTACGGCAATGCTATACTTCTGGCTGATACATGCATCCCTCTAAAATGCTGCGTAGCACGTGCGGGCCTGTTCCTTGTTTATGCAGAAAAAATCGAGGTCCTAGCTGTCCTTCTTTCCACTTACACAGCAAAAGCAGCAGCTCAGGAGACATGGGAGAGCTCTGTCAGGCAGCAGTGCCAGAATTCATGGGCTGTTCATGAGAGAGCGATGGTCATTTGCAACTGGCTGCTTCAGTTTTGGGAATTCCACTCTGCAAAGGTGACAAGTTTTATGCAGGGCTGCTTAGCAGCAGTGGCCAAATAACATCCAACCATTGCTTTTCCCTGTAGTGTTACGTTACAGCATACATTGAAGAAGTTCATCA